TATCAAAACAAAATTTACCCATGATAAAAGACTAACCGATTATTGTTCCATCCCATCCTATCTTATACTTGTTCCACAATACACTTTTTGATATGATTCTAATTTGCCTCTACTGGCTGCTTATTGTATGCTTAAATTAATGGATTTATTGAAAACAATTGTTCCCTCTAACTGTTTTGTTCTGAAGATCCTTGACTGTTGATCTGTGTCATTTACATAGAGGTGGATCACTTGACCAACAGTTTTCAGGTTGTTTAGTATGAATGAACGAAGAATCATTGTAATGTGACTCAAAAGTGTCTACAGAAATTCAAATACCTTCATATTTTATTATTTTATAGATTCTAAATTTCTTATTAATCTTCACTTAATGATTCTATCTCCTCTAATATTCCCAGCTAGTCACTATAATTTCATTATATATTTGTTATCTACTGGGGTGTTTTTGGTACAGTTTCAATCTGCTGTAACTTCCACTATGCTCTTTCATGCAAGTTACCTACTCCTTTAGATGTTTCATGAGCCGAAATTTTTTATACGCTATTTTGACATATATCATCAGTTATATATAGGGATCAAGAGACTTGGCGAGTCATAAAGAGCATCTCAAACAAACTTCACACCTTCATTAACAGCTGTCTTCGCTCAATACTCAAGATCAGATGGCCGGCCAGAAAAGATCAGCAACAGGGATCTCTGGGAGTGAACCGATCAGGAACCGATTGTGAAACAAATAGGCAGGAAGAAATGGAGATGGATTGGCCATACTCTGAGGAAACCATCAAGTGACATCACTAGACAAGCCCTCGAGTGGAACCCGAAAGGGAGGCGGCGAGTTGGTCGTCCAAGGGTGACTTGGAGGAGGTCATGAGAGGAGGAGATGAAAGCATGTGGACAGACCTGGAGCAGGGTGAAAAAGTTGTCAGAAAACCGAAGGCAATGGAGGTGCGCAGCTCAAGCCCTATGTTCCTCTAGGAACTAAAGGATACAATAATAATAATATAGATAGGGAAGTCATGAGATAATAGTTTTGTTGAAAAGTGAAATAATATTTCAGTGTTATTGTTAGATGTCCATTTAAAGATATAATGTCAAGAAATCAGTGTTTCTTTTTGTGCACAGGTGCTTGCATAGATTTACAAAACTATTTCGGGCCAACTAGCACAAAACCTAGGTCAAGCAAAGCTTCCTGCCGATTGTCTCTAACAATCTAATACCAACAATTCAAAGTGCTCTGTGATGGAAAGTCACCTAGCATGGTGGCCACATTGCAAACTTGACTGATAGAATTCAGTCTGCACCAAACATAGGACTAGGCACATTAAACCAGTTATTAGCTAGTGTCCAATCGGAAATATATGTAGTTTAGATACTAGGAATTTAGATGAGAACTACTTGAAGCTATTCATAATAGAGACTTGTATAAATGATCAGGTACAGACTACGGTCAGCATAGTCTCGTCTTTTGTTTGAATCACTGTTGGATAGCTAAACATTCATAGCCTCTGTCAGGTAAGTAGTCCTATTCATATTGCCTTTACTTATCTCAGAGTTTTCCAACAGAAGTGATGAGAATATCTTAGGCTCATCGCTGGATTAGTAAACATGGAAGCGTCACCCACGATAGTTAGAAAAAACTATGATTGTTAATCAGTATCCAGACGGACAGAAAAGCTTGTGAACCTGTGCTGGTTGCTGGCAATCATAGGAACAATGGTCCTGACACCCATCTGTTGTCTTATAGATTTTAAGTTAAAGGCTAAGGGTATACTCTCTGATTCTATTTAGACTTCAGTCAATAAATAAAGTGTGGAACAAAAATAGATTGCAGAGTTCAGCTCAACCGCATGCTAAGGCAAATTACTGCATCTGTTATCCCATGAAAGAAATACTTAAATATCCCGCTAATATTTTAAGGGATTTGAATATCCTCAAAATTTATTAATAACAAGAATAATTAGAACAAACAATTATCCCAAATAACTTCTTCAGGCTCGAGCCCCAAACTTTCTGGACAACTGTCTCTGTAGTGTTAGCTGACACTCTTCCCTTACCAATCAATGTTGCATTCAAATAGGCCACACCACCATTTAAGCCTGTAATCAAAAATATCACCTACTGATGTGTTTAGCGGACTTCTCAAAACGCGTGATAAATTCATTTGTGAAAAGCAGGTTGAAATAAGTTTCCGCTGTGAGTATATATTAACCACTTCATTCTCCTCCTCCAGCTATCACACACACACATTGCAAGCAAAAATTCATTAAATTTACTGGTATTTAGGCTGTATTCGATTCAGTGGACAGGACTGTTTTTTGCTGTGATCACCGCCGACTATCATCGTTCTCAGAAGGGTGATGGGATTACACAGAGTTATCTGATTTTCTCATTTCTTAACTCTACTGTCAATGACATTGTGATTGCGGATCAGAAGGCTGTGAGAAGTCTTCAGCCTAGAGAAGATTTTTTGACCATGACTAAAGAGGTGTTTCCTTACTGTGTAATAAAATACAGGATATCCGAGCCACAGTAAAATGGTTATTGTTTAATGGCTGTAATTAGTGTAAATATTTTGCATTATCCAAGTGGAAAATACTACTGCAGAAGCCTGCACGCATAATCACCCTGTCATATGGGTTATTCGGAAATTTCATGAGTCCTCGTAGTTTTGTAAGCCCTGGAAAAAGTGTGTTGAGTGACATTTATTATTTTATGTCGAAAACTAGCTCAGCATATGTCAAACTGGATTATCAGTTCAGCCGTCTCAAAGTTAGTCTAGTCACAGAAGATCATATTCGTAATTATTCGGTCTTACTTTCCGACTGTTAAACCTAGCTAATCCGAGCTAAACGTGTGCGGTAGCTTTGCATATGCGATCACTGATTTCTCAGTGGGATCACTTGCCTCTGGTGACATCACCATATAAGTGGTTCTCATTGTCTGACTCCATATATTTGGGCGCAGTTTTGATCATCTTCCGATTTGTGATTTCACCATGAAATATCGGCTTTTGTGTCATGGAAACGTGCTGCAAATACCATCCAAGTGTCTTCTCATTTCGTTCGACTGATATTCGAACTATTGTCCGTGTAAGTTTTTATTTATTCCCTGATAAAATTCGTGTATATCAGTATGTCTGCGGACTACAGATCCATCTGAGTACCAGGCGTTCATATGTACACTTTCCCATTTTGGCTGGTGCCCATCGTTGTTTCAGTAAATGGTAACACATTAAACACAACAAGAAGAGAAACTCTAGAGACACATTCAATTTTATCAGCGAAAATAGAAATCACCTTCATGGAGAATTACTAAAGCTCTGGAGATTTTGTCCAGAAAGCTTTGAAATTAAAAAATGCCACACAGAGGATGCAATATCACTGAAATCATTCATCTGAGCAATACATTTTGTCCATCGTTCCAAAATAAATATTCAACGACACACACACACACAAGTCATTCTCAATGAACTCTTCAGTGTCAGTGGCGACTTTTGTAGATAATGTGTTCATATTTAACTTCATAACAACATTCACAATCGAATCAATCAATTCAAAGTGGTGTTGTACTATTGAAATGCATAAAATTCAGTAAAACTAATAAAAGAGAGATGACTAGAAGTTCAGAGAAGAGTTTCTTCTCAGCGAATTCATTTCCACAGTTGTACAATCGCAAATATATATGAGTTATTTTGTATGCATGTGTACATTAACTTTGTCAAATGAAAATACAATTAGTAAGTTTTGGGTGGAGTAACGCAATAGAAAAAGTATTCAGAGGAATTAGACGTTGGTATAAGAGGACAGTAACAAAAGTGATGAGTTGTCACAAACGATTGTTAAAGAAGAGTTAGGTAATAACATGAGTAGTTTGATGAAAGAGTTGTGCTCAGAGTGAACATAAAAACAAAATAAAATATGAAATTGTCTAAGAGTTCTAAGGGAATATGAGAGTTTTAAGTAGTTAGAGAAGACAAGCAAAAGTTAAGTCAAATCGACAGAGTTGTCATCATGAAGTAGAAGTGGCTGAATAATTTTCTTTTGTATGCATAGCTCTGGTGCTTCTAACAGAATGACTAGGTCTTCTGCAGTGCAAAGAAGACGGAAACGTATTGTCTTTGTCAGATTGTTCTTCTACTTAAAACTCTTGTGTGATACCGTACTTTATTCTGTTTCCATGTTCACCTTGAACACAATTCTTTCATCAAACTACTCATGTCAATTATGTAAATCTTCTTTGACAATCTTTTATGACGACTCATCACTTTTGTTATCACCCCCTTTACCAACATGCGATTCCTCTGAATTTTTTTTTTTATATAATGTAAGTCCACCAAAAACTTACTAATTGTATTTTCGTTTGACAAATTCAAAGTACGCGCACATACAAAATAACTCAGATATATTTGCGGTTGTACAACTGTGAAAATGAATTCGCTGAGAAGAGACTCTTCCCTGAACTACTAGTCTTCTCTCTCTCTCTCTCTCTCTATTAATGTTCGAATGAGGGTTTATCATGAGTCAAAAACTAACATTACTTGCACAGTGAATTAGAATTAGATTATTGTCATTATTGAAATTCCCTAATTACTTAATTATTCTAACTAACAATATAAAATTTACTCCTTCATATGATCCAGTTAATCAATTAATAAACTAGATAGTGATAAATACGTAATTTAACAATTTTACAATTGAAATGTTCCTCTACTGACTATTGATTTCTTGTTGACAATTCTTATAGTTGTGTTGATTCGTTCATTATTAGACTGTTGCACTTGATTTATAACTGATTAGCCAGCGATAACTTTTGATAATTAAAAATTGATTCTTTCCTATCAGCCATTGGCTTCCTCTTTAATCTTCATTAAATCATAACATATTAATCTTGAAGTTACTACTTTGTCTCTGAGGGATAATTGAACATTGAAGAATAGAACAGTACAGATAAACAATTGAAATCCACTTGTAAAGTTTATTGAAAAAGAAAGATAATTACTAATGTCAGTCTATTTGAGATTATTATCCCTACTATTATGTGGATTAATTGTAATCAGTTCTCCTGTATATTATGTACCGTATGAAATGTGGGTTCCTTATTATTATCATCCTGAAGATTTAAATTTAATGGATGCTAGTGAAGCAAAAGACTCATTAACAGAAGAAAAATCAGCATTACCCGCAGATCTTAGTGATCAAAGTTATCGTAAAGGTGGTTTAGACATGGATGATGAATATGACATTCCACAATTAAACAATTTAGCTGTAGAACAGGAAAAAGGAGAGGATGAAAAACAAGAAACAGATGAAAATGGATTTGAGAACAATCAAGATAATCAATCAGATGATGTTTTAACGCACTACGATGATGATGAACGACATGAAAATGGGACAGACGATAATAACAATCAATCAAGAAATAGAATAATAGCTCCTGTTCGATTTCATACGACAGGGTATTCAAAGGCTAGACTTCTTTATGGACAACTACCAGCAGTTTCTTTACCAATAGCGCTACCAGCTCAAACACAGGTTCCTGTTTCATTGCCTATGTCACAACAAGTGTTGACAAGTCCATACAGTGCTGCAAGCTTAGGCACTCATGTGTATTTGCCTACCCAAGCAGTACACGCTCAAATTCCTATAATGGTTCCTCAAACTGTTGTTCCACATACTAATCAGTATAGAATTCAGGTTCCAGCAATCGTTCAACCTCAGCAGCCTGCAATTATTTTACCACAACAGCCTACAATAATTCAACCACAAATACCTACAATGACTCAACCCCAGATGCCTACAATCGTCCAACCTCAATCACCGCCCGAAAGTACACCAACTGGAAGAGGAGAATTCCCTCCAATGCCTCCTCAACAACCATTCCCTCCAATGCCTCCTCAACAACCATTCCCTTCACCACCAAGTGTTCCATTTCCAGGTTCAACACAGCAACAAAATAACCAAATATTTCCAGGACAGCAACAACAGCAACAACAACAACAACAAAACCAACAGCCACCTGTATTTCAACAAACACAAATAGTTCAGCAACCCCAACCCCAACAGCAACAGCAACAGCAGCAGCAACAACAACAAACACAGCCATCAGTATTCCCAACACCAACAGCAGTGCCACAACAACCGACACCTACATTGCCACAAAATACGCTTATTACAGTCAGACACGTTGTTATGACACCAAAAATACAAGTGCTTGTCAAAAAGCCGAGAACCAAAACCAGGTATATAGTGAAACGATATTTCTAGTGTATTATGATGATTTTGATAATAGTAATAACAATAATAATAATAATAAATAACTGATATACTTTAATAATTAATATATAGACAGAGGCTCTTTCAATCTTTTTACTTTTACCTTTTCATGCATGTTACTGAATTGATTTATACCTCGTTATTGAATTCCACATGGGACAGTCCACTTTCTGTGGCTTATGTCCTATAAACTGAAGTGCTACTTTCATTAGGGAGTGATATTATATATACATTATCAGTTATTATTTACAGTCCATTCAAAAATATATTCCATCCGTCATCGTTATTTTAGACTTCTTTATTGAAGTGATATATATATCTGAGGGAAAACTCAATAGTTTCATAAGTGGTGATAATAGGGCATTCCGACGGTGTGCAGAATAGGCACTATTCATCCTGTTTTTCCCATTTCGCAGATATTTTTGTTTCTGAAAAAGCATAACTAGAGTGGATGATCGTTTTGAAAACTTCTTCATAATCTGAAAGTTTCAAGCCACCATCGATTTTGGCATACGACAGCCAACAAAAGCAAATTCAAATGATATCCGAAAGTGTATTATTAGGTTACAAGTGTAAGACAGAACAATAATCTATTGGCTTTTGGTTATTCTTTGCATACAAACAAAATGCATTATCAGTGGGACTAAATAAGTGAGTGAGGTGCTTGTGAACTGACAATCGATAAAAGTACATATTCCGATGGCAAAGTTGTAGTCAGCTGTATGAGAAGTAATGTGAATACTAACCAACAAAATGCGTTACTCTGACTGTTAGTTCAGTGAAATGATGAATGACGATAGTAATGATAAAATAGTGTATTATATATACAGCAGTAATATTGGTCAATTCTTATCATTTAAAGAAGAAATAGGATAAGGCTGATGCAAACTCAAGGGATGACTATTAATAATAATAATAATGGTGTCATGTGAAACAAGGGAGTATTAATATCAGAGAGGAAGTCGTTAAGATGTAGAGGCACCTAATAAGACATGAGGTAGTTATGTCCAGTATGATTTTATGCATGCCAAGCGAGACATATAGGTTGAGTTGTACTTGTATCGATGCATGGGTTAGGCTTTTTCTTATTGATCCCTACAGCTTCAGTTACGGATAAAAAATATAATCGCATATCCTTAGACAAATTGTTTGGGACTAGGTATATGATCATTAGTACCTCTTCTATTTTGACATGGTGTTCACTGTTCATTAAATGAGATAAGACGCCACTGGCTATTTGATGTGATTACTCCTTTTCTAATCTAAATCAGTATTATATTCACGAATGTGTAAGCATGCGCTGCTTAGGTATAGGTTTAGTTGAGTAACTGGTATGTAATTAATATGACCGTAAAAGTTCTCTGAATAGATTTGTTCAACCTGTAGCTTGAAATATTACTAGACATGTCACTCTTTTGAAGTGCACTTTCAGGTGAAGCTTTCTGTTTTTCTTGCTATCTCCCACTTTATTTTATGCATTCTTCTGTATATATATATATATATATATATATATATATATATATATATATTACTTTACAAAAATGGTAAGATAATCATTTTGTAGCATGTTACTTCTTGGATTCTCTATTTCATCTTGAGTAGATTCATCGGAACATTTACGTCTAATTTTGTGATTAAGGCATCTAGAGCATTTTCCAATCTATCCAGTTTGATAAGGTTGCCCTTCTTCCAGTCATCAGGTACTTTTCCTTCCTCCTAAATCTTCTGCAGTTTTTGGTGTAAGCATGTCCACTGAGATCTTCGAATCCATTTTCAGTGCCCTTGAAGTGGTTTTTTTTCTTATCCTGCTGTCCTTCTGGCTTCCATTAACCTTATGGTACTCAAAACTTCTGCGTTTGTCGGACAATCTGTGTACATTGGTAGCTCTGTGTTTGTTGGTGGTATTTCCAGTCGCAGGTGTTAGTCTATTCAAAAAGTCATGCTAGCGCTTTCTTTCTTTCACCTCTTTTGTAATTAAGTTTCACCACCTTTCACTGGTCTCATCTGTTCTGGTCTTTTCCAGATAGAGACCTGGTTATCTGACATAGTGTTGTGAGATCTCTCTTGTGGCAGCCTGTCCTGCTTCAGTTCGCAGTGTTGTAGAAATGTCTTTTGTCTCTCCTGGCACCTTTCTTGACCTTTTTATTCAGTATGCTGTTGACTGAACTCAGCTTCTCTTTGCAATGGTTCATTTTCTGTTTCATCGTCTGTCTCTTCTCTATAAGCTTCCAAGTATTTATAGAGAGCCATTCCAAGTTTTGCCTCTTCATTTTGCCCAAGAGAATTCCAGTGTTCTTCAACGCAAGTTTATTTGATAATTCTGCTTATTGCATCCACTTTTTTCAGATGACTGGCGTAAAGATGTCTTTTGTAGCTTTATCCTCCAGTTTCTGAATACTGAACTTGAATTATTGTCTGTCTTCAGTTTCTTTGAAGGTTTTCAACTTGATCTTGAAGGTTCCTTGAAATATATATGCTCTTCTTGATTTCTAGTCCAGGTGGCTGTGTACCCTGTATCTGGAGACTGAGATGAAGTCTATTTGATTTTGGATGTGTCTGTCTGGAGAAACCTACATCACCTTGTACCTCCACACATCAAGGCAAGAAGCTACAAACAGTTCTCTGTCCTGATTCATTTCATGGAGCACCTACTGATACGTGATGGTGTGTTCCTGTATTTTCTCCTCCTAATTTGGCTTGTGTCCATATCACTAATTAGAATTTTGATTTCAATGTCTGATTATGTTCCTTTCCATTACCGCTTGCAGTTTTGTCTGTAAAAGTCCTCCTTCTCTACTGAGTCAGCGTTCTTCATACTGTATAACTGTAACTCTCCCTCCTTCTGAATAGAATTTTTTTGATTATGCTTGAAACCACACGGCATTTTGGCACAAGTATGGAATTTCCAGTATGTGATATCGGTAGCCCGAATTTGGCAGGCCGACCACTGATATCGGGTGTCCGTCGGTAGGGGATCGAACCCCGGACCATGTGCATAGTCTGCGAGAGTCCTAACCGCTGGGCTGCCGACGCACAGGCTGTTGCCATTGTCCTGAGGAGAACTGGTTTCTACCGCTTAAGGACGTTTGGAGCTGTTGGTGAGATAAAGATAGCCAAACCCTCAGTGTGCTCTTGGTTGCCTTCTGACTGAGTAGAGTAGATAATTAACTCTTCAGTTAGCGGTTTGCAGTCCATTCCATCTGCTCTCTCTATCACTTCTCTATCATTTAATCTTATTTCTTTTGCAATTTGAACAGCTTTCCCAGCCCCCGATTATATATGGACATCTCGTTCTCTTCCCACTTCTCCGGGTATGAGATAAACTGAAATATTAACTATTCGAAAATTCAGACAAAATAAGAATGGGTGAACTATAAACTACTTATGAGTAGTCTAGACGTGCTGTGTATTAAAATCGTGTGAATGCAGACATAACTTAGTGAAAATGTAGTTTGTTTTGGTCCATTTCTCTACGTACATGTGTATAACAATGAAGCTGTATTGAGAGACGATTCATGATAGGACACACAAGCCATTTAATTACAGCCTAGTGGCTGGGTGGTACAATCTCTCGCTACATAACTAAACGCTTCTCAGTTCGGTGCCGAATGAAATCATGGCTGCTAAATATGGGAAAGACCAAAACTTTGATAAAACAAGTATTTACTGCTCTTTAGTTTCCAATTTTTCCTCAACTAATATCGATTCATTATGAAACTCAGCTTTAGATTTACACGCCTCTAAAATTTTTACAAAAAACTTGGCTATTGATAAGTTATTCATCTGAAGAGCGGTTACCAGAGATACATAATAAAAGTTCATGAATAATCCCCATCGAAAAATTAATGAAAACAAAACAGGTAGTTCAGTGAAGAGTGCGTCTTCAGTGGATCCCTTTCCGACAGCCATACGATAGTATTTAAATGCTCTTTTTCATGGAACAGGGTAGTAACAAAGGTTATGAGTCATTACAATCATGTTTGTTAATGTTAGTCGATGCATAAGTGGGATTGAAAAGGAGTATTGGAGTTACGTAATAATACGAATGTTAATTCCTTTCCTACCTGTTCATTCTCAATCTTTCCTTTGTTAAACGTTATACTACTTGCCATTAGTAAGTAGTATGATTTGTATATGTTAATTTATAACAATGACATTTGCTTACAACTGCAGTTAAATTACTTGTTCTATTATCATTCTATTAATGTATAGTTCTTATTTTTCTTCTCCTTAAACATTATTTGCTGCATTTACCCTATAGTGTATGCTTTACTATTGAAAGTTGTTTGTTCATATTTGTTTATTCTTTGCTTGGCATTCGCGGGCCGTTTGAACCGACGCGTGGATCGACCTTGACACAGCATTGCTGTTTTTACTTAGTGACTGCACAGTGGTTGTGCATTTGACGGCATTTAGCCACAGACACCTCACATTTTGAGGTTTGTATATTATATATCTATTTTTATGTAATAAAGTACCGTATTTCAGGATATCCTGTATTTTGGACTTTACGCGTCACTCTACGTGTGGTTAAATCTATAGTTTGGATTATCGTTTCGGATTTCTTTCGGGAGAAATTCACAACGAATAACTTGACGAGTGAGTTGTGATCACGATGGACTTAGAAATGAAGGGACTATGTTAGATGTCTTAAAAAATACAGGAGTTATAAGGATTTTGTTGTCACTGAGCATCAACAACAAAATTCGTTCGGATTTTCAATACAAAGGTCAAGTCAGTCAGTTCTTCTATACGGATCAGAAACTTGGCGGGCGCGTCACAAAGAATATTTCCAACAGCCTGTTGCAGACCTTTATCAACAATTTTCTTCACTCTATACTGAAGATCAGATGGCCGGGCCGGAAAGAATCACCAACAAGAAACTATGGGAACAAACAAAACAAGAACCAATCGCCCAACAACAACAAATATGCAGGAGAAAGTGGAGATGGATTGGACACTGACTGAGGAGGCCGCTGGGTGGCATCGAA